TGGTGATAAGAAGCGGTACTTTCAGTGTTGAAGCCCTAAGTCTGAGCCGTTGCGGACAAGTGAAGCAAAGACACAGTAGAGGACATCCATTCATAGAAGCGATTCAATTGAATATAACCGCAAATAAGTGTCTCATTCATGAGAGTTGGGATTTGTGTCAGAAATTCATTCAATCGGTCGATAACTGTGTTAAGGCTACAGAATCCATGGCTTTGGATCAGAAAATTGTTGAAAACTATTTCAAACCATACGTCGAGTATTTTAGATCTCTATCTGCATTTGAGGCCCAATTGCAAAGACCCTGGACTTCAGAGGACTTGAGTGCACCCGAGTATGCGATCACCAGAAATGTGTCGACGACTACTGACTACGAGACCCAACAGCTGTTGGTTTGGATTATAAAACAATTCAAACCGAAGTGTATGTTAGAGTTGGGCTCATGGATGGGTTACAGCACCCTATTAATGGCCATCTCTGCCAAAACATATCAATTAACTCATCATAAGTAAGTTTTTCAGTTATTACTATTTAATATTTAATTAGAAATATTTAATTTATTTCTTAAGATCCCGGATCTATGCGTGCGATTCATATGTTTGGCAGAAATGGATGAGTAATTTTGTGATCACGAAGAATATAATGGCAAATGGAGACACATTTCTGCCACGATTTCTATTCAATACGGAACCGATGAGTGAATACATAGAACCCATTGTTATGGACTTCGATACTACACTCCCGGACACTGTCTCTCATATTAAACCGGATTTTGTTTTCATTGATTTCACTCAAGACGCCGATGAGATCCAAGAGAAGTGGACTCATTTGGAGCCCAATTTGATTCCCGGAAAGACTATTGTCTTATTCAACGGTCTGTCAATCACTTCAATACCATTTTTCACCAAAAACTCTGATAGACTGAAAGCGTTGGTAAAACCACATTCAATAGCCAAGGCATTCATATACAGCCCCGACATGCCTGTCCAAAAGCCTTTGAAAAATATTAATTTGAGCCCAAAATTCAATTTCCAAACGCCTCCCGATTGGGAACATCACTACAAGAATGCATTCAATTCTTGTGTCGATATATTAAGACAAGAATTTCATGACAAGGAGTCAAACATTTTGTTTATACCTTCCGTTGAGGAAATGCTTTGCGATAATTCAGAGGTTATGAGAAACAATGACTGGATTGGTATCATTCATATGACACCAGAATATCCGGAATTGTTTTACACACCAGACCTGAAACAGTTGTGCAGTAATCGTTACAAACAATACATGAAGACATGTAAAGGATTATTTACACTGACATCACTTCAAAAGCAATATTTGGATACAAATCTTGAATTGGATTATAAAATTCCGATTCAGAGGTTAGTTTATCCATACATTGAACCCGAAGTCTCTAAAGATTCAGAAGTAATAAATTTGTTGCAAAACAATGAAACGGTTGAACTAATACTGATCGGAGGGTTTGCCAGAGATTTGAATTGTTTTTATTCGGCAAATGTTTCGAAAAAATTCAAAAAAGTTATTTTAATCAATGATTTGACGACAGAATATCAGTTGAGAAGATATTATCCCAAAGACATTGAATTGAGGCCACGATTGGCTGATGAGGAATATGAGAGACAGTTATACAGAAGCATCCCTTTCCTGACACTCCTATACAACGGCGCCGCCAATACATTAATACTGGAATGTATTGCCAGAAACATTCCAATACTGGTGCCAAACATGAGTTCTTGTACTGAATATATCGGTGAAGACTATCCTCTCCTCTACTCCAGAGATCAAAAGGATTTCACAAATCTATTGACAATAGAGTCAATCCAATCAGCGACAGATTACTTGAAAACTATGGATAAAAATCGCTTTAAAACGGATTACTTCTTCAATTCCGTGAAGACTGGGATTGTTTTGCAGTCGTTATCAACAAAACAGTCAATAAATTCTGAATTATCTCTTCAATCGGTTCCAGACTTTTGTGAATTTGATGTCTCGGTCTGTATTTGTTCCTTCAAACGGACCCATCATTTGCCACAAATACTGGACTCTCTATGGAGTGGACAGACATTTAAGGGAAGGCTTGAGATAATTGTGTGGAATAACAAC